GGGCTTGGCGGATTGCATCATCATCTTTTGAAATAAAGTTTCTGATATTATCCTACACCAGAGATTAATCCATAAATTAGAAAAATATTCCAGTGGGAAAAGGAGATTACGATACTAAATCAGGAAGTATTTGAAAGCGAGGAATAAATAATAACAGCGAGGAAGGAAGCATCATAATGGGCGAGTGTAACGAATGGATTACCACAAGGTTTGAGAAGTGCGGCCTCTACTGCTTGTATTGTACGTAAATGTCAGCTTCACTCCAAACATATCGTCGTAGAAGTAACCTCACCAGGTAACATGGGCAGCTGGCGCAAGACTGGTACATCTTAAAACAACATTTAGGAGCCTAAACAGAAAATAGTTTAGGAAACTTATACAAAACATATGTAAGGCACATTTTAAGAGTACGCGGCCCCAGCGTAAATCCAGGGAAGGTACAAAAGGTGCACATTAAAACTTGTCCCTGAGCCTAGAGAACTGCAATATTCAGAGAGATACGAGAAAGTGGCCTAAGCTACCCGATAGGAGAGAGAGAAAGAGGGACATGACTATGATCTTTATAATTATGAGAGGAATCGGTAGAACAAACTGAGATACATTGAGTGAAAAGGGACACTGTGAAAACTGAACACACAGATGAACCATGTGAATATTGTAAAGTATTCTGTAGTCGCAGGACAGTACAAAGGTAGAATTACACGAGTAGGTAATCTAGGCAAAATGAATGCATGCCTTCGAAGATAAATTTGAGGCTAAAGTCCAGAAAATGCCGGACAATTCAGCTTAATAGGTTGGGTTAGAAGTTGTGCATAAATTCCCAACACACAAATAGGTAATTGTACACTCTCTGCACCTGCCTCTCCGCCATTAATTACTGTTTCAGGTCACCCCTCACCTTTCTACCCCCGTGCCCAGATGGTGACACGTAACCCACTTGGCACTACACCCGTGTCTAATAACCACCAGACCCCCAACACCACAGGAAAAAGCGGCACACCGGAACACGTCTGCCACTTGTGTCGATAACCTGTGATTGGTGAGACCAAAATATCGTGTTGATAAAAAGAGGGGTGGGAGACGTAGAGAGACGGGGAAGTGAAGAGAAGTTTGGAGAAATATAATAGCTACATACTGGGAACAAAAGCTAGCTGTATTTCCCTGTCATGTTCCCTCACATAGGATGGGTTTCGTGCATCAGATAATGAAATGTGTCAGTCTGAACTGTGAGACTTCAGTAGACTGATGAGATTATCGTCAAGGACTTCACTATGGGAAGGGATGTAGTTAAAATTAGCACGCTTAAGCTGTAAGTGCTGGGGGGGATCGATAAGCTATTAGATGGATTACTGCTAGGCAGGTGTTCAATGATGGTTAAGGTTAGTGAGTGTGTACCTACAGACGTTGTTTAAAAAGTCCTCGAGGATTATTGAGGCTCCTAAAAGTTATTCTGAGATTTACTGAGATGTGCTTCTCTGAGGTTTCGTTAAGCGTGATGTTAAACTCCCAAATCTTATTATTTCGCCTATGTTATTTCACTTCCCAGTTTGTACTGTCTCTGATCTTTCCTCTAATTCCCAAATTGCACTATCTGGCATTATTCTTCTTGGAGGGTAGCTCTGTCTTTTCCTGTTCATATTATCTTCACTTGTTTCATATCATTTGCAAATAGATACATACAGCAGGTTATATACGTATATCAGAAAAAGTAGTGACTAGTATTGATCATTGGAGGATCCCAAGTTTTAATCCTCTCTCATCCTGACACTTTCTTTCGTCCTATGCATACTATTTGATGCCTTGATAGACTTGGCCTTCACAGTCTACTCTTCTGTAATATGACTTTCTGTTTCCTCCTATTTTTTTTCTCCAGTCCTACTTCTAATAGATAATCAAGGCTTAGCACAGTGTGATCACATCCACTTAGTGGTATTCAATAGTGAATATCGAATTTTGTTGGCTCGCCTCCAGTTTGCATTCTTGTAATTCTCCTCAGGTGTTAGTGCAAACTTTTCTTTTGATACCTCCATTAAATTTGTTCTTTACGTTTCTGGCTCTCGTTCAGGTGCCAGTTTTCCCGATAAATTTGTCATTAAAACACCTTACAATGAATAGCTGTGCCTTTGCTTGCTTTCGGTTCTACTCTCTCAGAGATTTCTACTTTTGATCTATTGTTTTCCCTTGTACTGTCCCCAGTCTCTCTCACCTTCTGTTGGTTACTCTGTTTCTGCCTCTTATTTTTGTTACTGGGTGTGGGTGTTCCTGTGTGGGATAAAACTCTCAGGATGAGAGATGGGATTCAGTAGACTTTTGACACTGAATTTGAGGGGTGGAGGTATATTAGGGAAGAAAGGGAGTGTTTGTATGTACATGAATGACAGACACTGAAACTCTGGCTATTAACTGTGAACTTAAAGTGAGGGTGGAAACATAAACACATATGCAGTTTAATGTGATCCTTTATTGACAACGTTTCGCCCACACAGTGGGCTTTTCAAGTCACAAACAGATCTACCTGGGGTGGAAGGTACATGAGCATTTATAGTCAGGTTCAGAATGTTGAGGTCAGGTGGAGAATGCTGCATCTGATGATCTACCGGGTGGGGTTATAAGTTTAAATCTTGGGTAGCTTGGCAGGGGTATTTTAGACTATAACCCCTTCCAAGCTACCCAAGATTTTAGACTCTATAACCCCACCCGGTAGATCATTAGATACAGCATTCTCCACCTGACCTCAACATTCTGAACTTGACTATAAATACTCACGTACCTTCCACCCCAGGTAGATCTGTTTGTGACTTGAAAAAGCCCACTGTGTGGGCGAAACATTGTCAAAAAAGGATCACATTAAACTGCATATGTGTTTATGTTTCCATTGTGTCGGTATTTTATACCATTTATTTTAAAGTGAGGGTAAAAAAAATATTATAACACACCGACGATCAGTTAGGTAAAGGAACACATGCAACTTCTTGGATTTTATTGCAGGCTACGTTTCGTTTACCAGGAGCTTTTGCTAAGCCTTATTATGTGCATAAATGAACAGTGGGGACATATATAGTAAACAAGTGAAGTACAAGGGTGGGGCCCGAGCGTGAAGGTAACAGCAGACTTAATAAAGGTAACAGCAAAGAAACTTAATAAAGTTCAAGCAGAGGAGCAAAGAATAAAGCATAACAGTGATTCGTGAATAACAATGATGAGTGTTGTGGGGTATCGGGACAATTGTTGATGACACTCATTGCTACTTTTAATACATCAAGGTTAACAAAGCTCCTGGTGAGCGAAACAGAGCCGGCAGTAAAGTATTCAGAGCTTGCATGTGTGTCCATTTTTCTTAGTGAACATAAATCTTCGTTCTTAAAAAATATTGTTGCATTATGGAGCCAAGATGCGTGAGCTGTATTATCATGGGGTTACATCTCTGGCACTTCTAAAATGACTGAGCTAAGGTTGAGGTCATATTTGAGATATTGTTTAAATGGTTCAAAGTGACACCTATAGTAAAAGGAGACCTTTTATATTTTTGTAATACGGTGTTTCACCTACATGGTAATAAAGAATGATCTTTTTGCTATATGTTTCATTTTAAACCATTCATCGGCTTATAGCCATACTTTAACTATCTGAGGTAAAACTGAGGGATATGAGATAGTGTGAAGCGAGGATAGCGTCACTTAAGAGTAGGGTGGGGAGGTGGCAGGTTACTGTGGGTTACGTAGCTGGGGCAAGAGTTACGAGAGATGCGTGAGGCAGTTCATGCACCAGCAGGTAGACGTGGGCACTGAGCCAGGTTGGTTCCGGAATGCCACTCTTGTGTTGGCACTCTGGCGTAGTGATGCTTTAACACGAAACTGAAAAACAACAACGAGAGTTTTTGTTTGTTTGTTGATTGTTTTAATTTAAATTTATGATTTATGGGACAATTCCTAAGTGAGGAAGATAAGTATTAATTACGGCGAAGCTCTGAAGATCAAAAAAATTGGGTTTGATTTACGAGTAGAACGTTACGTGCTGCAAGCTGTTGTAATTACACGTAGTCGTTAGTCCATTTTTATGGGTCGCCATTTAGAGGGAGAAAAGGGCAAAAAAAAAAAAATAATCGTGAAGATGGGACATGAGTATCACCTGGCTCTTTCCTCTACTAATAAGGAAATATGCAATTCTCTTTCTCTGTCTCTGTTTCTGTCTCGACCACAAATGAGCCACACGGGTATCAGAAAATAATGCACTTAACATTAACAGTCGTAAAACAAGTTGAACGAGCCGAGCAGTGACACAGAGGATGCTGACTCCATACAGTTCACAAATAGACATGACAAGACTACTTACTTCACATGAGTCAGTTGAAAGTTAAGCGTCGAGACCATGAACTAGAGCTCCTTTCCCATCTCTCGCAAGCTAAAATTAGGTAAATCGGCAATTAGAAAAAATGGAAATCGGAAGATGAAAGAGCCAAATAACATTTAGGAACTAACAATTACGGGAACAAAAATCATAGAAACATACATACCCCAGACAGTAATAGGAAACCTAAACAGGAATACGAAGTCAGAGCTATCACAGATGTCCCAGACAGGGGTAGCATTGAAATGTGAAGGTCAACATTATGGTGGGAGTATTTAGTTTGTCAGAAATGAGAAATTTCTGCTGACACGGACGTTAGTCATGATCAACTGCACAGAATTTTGTCATTTGGCCGAGGCCTTCAGCTGGGTTATTTGTGATGGTAGGCTTTTCACGTTATTCAAAGCACTTGGGTTCACCATACAATAGCATCCTCGGTTTATTTGTCAGGGAAAATTCACGTATCGTATCAGTAAGCTTTCATTTACTGATTTTTTCATAATTTCTTTAAACGATAATAGAGTAAGATGTGAGCTGTAAGTTTATGTACGTTTTTTTCATTATTTTTACAGTTATAGCTAAATTACAGTTGTATGTTATAGTTATAGAGGAAGAAGTTAGTGTGAAGTGTAATGTTGTTCCATGTGTTGCAGTGTGAGGGAGCACAACGAGAATCTGCTGGCCCAGGAGTCCATCAGCGAGCGTATTCAACATATTACTAATCGTGCCCAACAGCTCGACGCTCTAATGTTTCCTTCAGCTGTGGCTGCTACACCCACACCCACTGTCCACGACACTCAAGCTAGACCTGACGCCGACCACGAGGTCAGTTCGGCCTTCTGAGAAGCCGGAGTTGGTGTGATGCACCGGCACCTTCCACTCCCAGCACCTCCCTCTTCAACCACCATCCCTCATCACAATCACCCATGCTCCTTCAGCACCCCAGGCTTCTCCCAGCACCACCAAGTACCCCAGGCTCCTCCCACTACCACCAAGCACTTCAGGCTTCTTCCAGCACCAATATGCAACTTTCTTATAACGCACAAACTAGTGCTACGCATGCGCCCTCTGCAGTAGTCACTAGCACGTTATACAAGCACATCCAGGTCCGCACCATGCAAATGATCTCATATTTTATTGTCCAATCAAAACCTTTGTGGGAACAGCTTCCCAATGATTTTTACTGCCTAAGGTTCTTTCACATTATCTATTGCATAAAACCTTCTCTTTGAAATCAATGAATGCGAATTTGACTGACCTGAGTGCGTTTTTATTAGTAAAAAAATTTATGTTGTTACTGTTGATATTGCTCATGTGTGCATCCTGTTAATACTGTTGTCTTGTTGCTGTTTTTGTTTAAATTTGTTGTGTAGACTTGTAAGTTGATAAATAACAAAGTTCGCAGTGATTGATTGTGTGACCGCAGTAACAAAGGCGGCTTTTATGTGAAACAGTAGCCTACTAACAATTGTTAGTGACCCACTAATATGCTAGCTCTAAATGTGAAGCATAACACATTGTTGTTAGTGTGACAGTAGCATAATTAGAGTTGTTAATGTGGCGCTGTAACATTGACAGTGTCTTATCTCTCGTTATTGATCTGAGAGTTATAATGACCGACATTTCAGACTGAATCACTTTCTGACTTCTTTGTGACGGAGGCTGTTTATTTTTTTGCTGCTTTGCTATGAATGTGCCGTCAGTGGTTGAGGTCCCAGCCACGCTGCTGAACACGATACACAACGGGTATAATGATGTTAACCAGTAAAAGGATCCGTTGAATCATTATTGACATAACGAAAAGAAATTACATAACTATATATATGCAGTTGTCTAAGAAACTATTTATGTTAGGCCTTGAGAGACCCCTCGGTGTTTTAATATTACATATTATTCATGTGCTGATGAATCCAAAAGCCTCACCTACAGCGCCCAGATTTTTCAAGGAACTCCTCTTACTAAGTTACTGTTGTTGATTACAGCGCTGTATAACTCATACTGGTTTAGCGTTTGTTTTAACATACCGGGTAATAATAATAATGATAATAATAATAATAATAATAATAATAAATAATAATAATAATAATAATGCTGATTTCCTTTTAGCTCTACTGTTATTGCGAAGGGGAAGCGCTAAAACTGTTAGAGCCAGTGTAACGCCTGAAGAGTTGGGGTATAATTGTGTTTTATCAGAGGAAAAGAAGGATAACTGTAATTTCTTTGATCAAGAGCAGTTCAGTAACCTCGTGGCTTATAGTAAGTCTCTTTGTCTTCAATGGTTCCCAATCACAGTTATTACTTTGAATATTTAAAACGAGCTTTTTTGCAGTGTCAGTTTGATAACAATGAACCGGGCATATGATAGCGTGTGTTGCTGAACGCTAACTTAACTAATGATCAGAAGCTCCTGATACTGACGCTGTTGGTGATTTGTTCCTCAGGAAGTGCGAGAACGTCTAGAATAGACACTTAACAGTATTGAAGCTTTAAGACAACACTTCACTTGGAGACCAAGGCTTGGTCTCCAAGAAAAACATTGTCTTCAAGTTTCCATATTGCTATAAATGTCTTTATTACAGTTTGTAGGTATTTCATGCTTTTAGCTTTCAGGAAAACGTTTCCTGACTAGGTGATTGAACGGCAGCTGGTGTACCAGCGTTTAGTGCCATTCGTTAAGCAACCGCTGGCTTATCGATGCAATATACCTGTGGGCTAGCATCACCTGCCATACCTGAGTTTGGGTTTCCCCATTAAAAAAAATGTCCTCGTAATACTTCTTGAAGGCTGTTAGCACACTTGCAGCCAGTCTCTTACTAATATACACTGTTTACTGTTTTCCCAGCAGTTTAATAGGACTACCTAACTCCTGTAAATAACCTGCTTAATTGGGCGATCATCAACAGCTTGGCTAATCAGAGACTGGTTAACGATTAACGAACAGAGGCTCGAGCCTCCGAAGGACGCAGCTAAACACACACTGGTCTAGTCCTTCAAAAATCCAATACGTTATATTATCATCTAAACGTTATATGATTAGTATAAAAAATAATTAAAATTTAAATAAAAAAAAACATTATTTAAAGACATAGATGTGCTATTTTAAAATAAGGCTTCTAGGTGAGGTTTATGGTTGCTCTAGGATAAGATATAATTTCGGGATTTCTTAAACTATAAATATTGGTGTGATCTCAGTGTTTTCCTTCTCTTTGCTTTAAAACTGTACAAAATGGTATTTTATACTGAATCAGTCAAAACCCGAGTGTGAGGAGAAACATGCTTATCTGACTTTTTATAATTAGAATATATACAGCTTACGCTGTTATGTGAGAAAATTCCTGTGAATACTCAGAAGTACAAAGTATTTACACTTTCTGACTGCCAGTTTACAAAAGATTTAGTATATTTATTTGTTTTTGTTAACAGTGTTGTAAATTGTTTTAAATTTGTAATAAAAATACTGACATGACTATGTATTTGACTACCTTACTTTCCTCGGTAGATTGAATTTTTCACTGTATGCTTATATATATTTTGGCGTAAATGCTAGGTAAAACTGACCGGTGTAAGGCTTGGCTTAGTAAGTACCTAGATACTAGCTAGCGCTGGCTGGTGTGTAGCTTGGCTTGATGAGTACCTTGAGGAAAGTTTCGGGTGTGAAGTTTGGTTTAGTAAGCACCTGGAAGTTATGTAGTATTCTTATTGGTGTGTATGTTGGCTTAGTAGTATCTGTAATCTATGTAACACTTGAGCAGTGCATATCTGATGTCCTATTTAATATATAATATATATATATATATATATATATATATATATATATATATATATATATATATATATATATATATATATATATATATATATATATATATTCCACCTGCCGTAATACAGTGCAGGTATCTATTAAGTGACATCCACAGCAGCTACGAAAGGTGACGTCCATAGTAGCAGATGGGACAGGTTAAGTCAACAGTTGTTATGACAAATGACGTTTGCAGCAGTCATGACAGATGCAATGAATATTTGGTATGAAAACCCACATCAAAGTATAAACACGAAAGTTTTGATTGATATGTTTATTTCGACTTCTAACTGAGCTACGTCCTCCTCAAAGATAATATTTGAAACATGAGTCCTTGCATGAACCTCGGTGCTAGGCAAGTATGAGAACTGGTAAGATACTTCCTGGACCTGGGTCCAAGAGAGCATGTAGACCAGGATGAATTACAACAATTGGATATGCTGAATGTTGAAGACACAGTAAAACAATTGAAGTTAAATCAAGTTTACAAAATAGCTCACACACAGTGTCCAGAAAATCTTGCTGCCAATTTTGTCAGGGCTGGGAACCAAAGCAATCACAGTACTAGGGGAAGGGAGCACAACTTTGTAGTACCCACAGTCAGTGGCCGAGCTTCAAGACCTTTTATTGTACAGCAACAAAGGAATGAAACAGACTGCCTGCACATGTCAAAGCCAGTCATAGCATGAACCAGTTCAAGAAGAGAGGCAAAAGGTACTTAATGAATGTAGCGACAGAAAGGGAGGAGAATGATTTTTTATTTTTTTTGCTAACACACATGTAAATTTAAATAACTCATTTTACCTTATTTCTAGTATATCTCCTTTATAGTATAATAATAAGATATTTTCTCCTTTATAGTATAATAATAAGATATTTTCTCCTTTATAGTATAATAATAAGGTATTAGAAGGACCCCAATCGAAATAAGTCACTTTGTCTGACTCTTTTGGGTTATCCCAGGTTCTCTACACATACGCTGCTATGTATAATATCTATGTAACTGTATTTGTGTATACTTGAATAAAATTACTAAACGCTAGGGAGAGAGAGGAACCGTCAGGAAGGTGACTTGTGCCATGGTCTTCTTAGAATAGATTTCAGTAAGACCTTTCGAGAGGGTGCCTTGAAACTGGTGAAGGGCTCTTGATCCATAGAATTGAAGCTACCCTTTCTCGGATCAGACCTGATTACCCCTATTCCCTAAATGCTGTATGACTCCTACGGGTTTCCCACGTTCCCTTAAATATAATTTTAATTAACTTACGTAATTAGTAAAGAAACTAGAATAGGTTTCAAGCCACAGTTCTGTCTCGTATCTAAACAGTTTTTATGTCGTCAAGAGCAAAATACAAATAGGGCAAGAATTGTTAAAAAAAAGTTATTGAAAACCCACTGGTCCACTAAGGCTAAATTACTTACTAAAAAGTTAGGTAGATGCCGATCGCTAGTTACGAGTATAGAGCAAGGTATACAGAATACAAATTACATTAATACAGCAGCCATCCATTGAGCTGTGTTAACTCTAGGGTTTAGCAAAGTATTGACTAGATATAGATTTTTGTAATATTTGAACCAAAAATATTAACACGAAGGCTTTGGGGTCAAATGTACAAGTGTACAAATTTATAAATATACAATCTGTTCGAAATGTAATCTTATCTATAATAGGGAAGACCTCGACAAGTCATGGTATCCTGTACCCGAGAGGTTATTCCATGTGTACCTATATCAATAGGAATCGGTCACCTTGTTTGACTATTGGGTTATACCAGGGGTAATATATATATATATATATATATATATATATATATATATATATATATATATATATATATATATTATATATATATATATATATATATATATATATAATATATATATATATATATATATATATATATATATATATATATATATATATTATATATATATATATATATATATATATATATATATATGAACATTTTTGAAAATACTTACGCTCGTATCCTAACTCGTTATATCATTGTTATAGTCATGTTCTTGGCGGCAAGTCTCCCATTTTCTAAACGTGTATAAGGACTATATTATCAAAGAAAATGAATTCTTGATCCATAGCTTGAGAATTTAATATGTAAAATAACATTAGTTTCCTGGTAAATATCTAAGTTTTCATTTAGGCTTTGCTTGCACTTTTAAATGGTCTAGAGAGCGCACATGTTATGGGTACATAAATAATACATTATATAGGTTTAACTAGGAAAAACCAATGAAGTCAAACAATGTCATTAATTTCCACTGTCGTCCTTGGGTATTTTAGTATAGAGGTTATTACAGTCCTATAAAAATAAAAGAGTATCGATATGATAGTAATATATGTATATATATATATTTTATATATATATATATATATATATAATATATATATATATATATATATATATATATATATATATATATATATAATATATATATATATGTGTGTGTGATAATAATAATCATTCAACACTTTCACCATCACTCATACATAATCACTGTCTTTGCAGAGGCGCTCAGATACCAATATCCTAAACCCCCCTTTAAAGTGCAGGCATTGTACTTCTCATTTCCAGGACTCAAGTCCGGCTAACTGGTTTCCATGAATCCCTTCACAAAATATTACTCTGCTGACACTCCAACAGCTCGTCAGGTCCCAAAAAACCATTCGTCTCTATTAACTCCTATCTAACAATCACGCACGCTTACTGAAAGTCCAAGCCTCTCACCCACAGAACCTTTACCCCCTCCCTCCAACTTTTTCGGGGACGACCCCTACCCCACCTTCCTTCCCCAACAGATTTATATGTTCTCCAAGTCATTCTACTTTGTTCCATTCTCTCTAAATGACCAAACCGCCTCAACAGCCTGTCTTCAGCCCTCTGACTAATACTTTTAGTAAAGCCACATCTCCTAATTTCCACACTACGAATTCTTTGCATAATATTTACACCACACATTGCCCTCAGACACGACATGTCCACTGCCTCCAACCGCCTCCTCGCTGCAGCATTTGCAACCCAAGCTTCACACCCATATAAGAGTGTTAGTACCACTATACTCTCGTACATTCCCTTCTTTGCCTCCATGGATAACGTTCTTTGTCTCCACAGATACCTTGTGTGTGTGTGTGTGTGTCGTGCCGAATAGGCAGAACTTGCTATCTTGGCTTAAATAGCAAGCTTCATCTTGCCATATAGGACAAGTGAAAATTTGTGTATGCAATAATTTCGCCAAAATCATTCTGAACGTAACGAAAAAAATATATTTCACTGTTTGTTTAGTATTAAATTACTGTAAACAAATCTAAAATACTATATTTAGTTGGGTTAGGCTAAAATAAATTGCTCTTGATATAATAAGGTTAGGTAAGTTTTCTAAGATTCTTTTGGTGCACAATTATAAATTTTTACATTAACTTTAATGAAAAAAATATATCTTTAAACGTGTAAGAGAAAATTTTAGAAAAGACTTAATTTTAAATGAGTTCTTGCTAATTGACCAGTTTTACATATTCGGCACGACATAATATATATAATATATATATATATATATATATATATATATATATATATATATATATATATATATATATATATATATATATATATATATATATATATATATAATTAATATATATATATATATATATATATATATATATTATATATTATATATTATATATAACAGCACTGCGACTAACCAAGGACTCGAACCCATGTCGTTTTGGTCCGCCTCATGGTGAGCAAAAATCACATGACGCTCTAACCCACAAGATCACCAAATCCTACAAAAATTAAGCACCCAGCAAAGCTAGATGTTTTATCTTGATTCGAGGATATACGGTGGTGTGGGTATCTCTGAGCTAATTTCATTCTACTTCCCGTTTGGTGTACTAGCCTCCACAAGCAGTATTTTTATATTATTGTAACCACGAACGATTGGTATTTAGTCAATAACAACACTGCGACTAGCCAAGGACTCGAACCTATGTATACATACATATACATAATATATATATATATATATATATATATATATATATATATATATATATATATATATATATATATATATATATATTATATATATATATATATATATATATATATATATATATATATATATATATATATATATATATATATATATATATATATATATCGCATATGTCTTTGGGTTATGCTAGGTAATTTACACTATGTATGATAATTGTACTTATATGTACCTGTGCCTAAATAAACTTACAAGTTAGGCCAAAAAAGCGTGATTTTCTGCCAAATAAGCGAAAGGATCATTTTTGCGACAATAATCATGATAACCATTCCTTGATTATAATTTATTCTCCAAAACATGGATATTTTAGAATATATAAAGTATGTATATATATTGATAAATACCCCACTCGATACATTCTGGAAAATTGCAGCCACTTTCTGCAGTAGCAATGTTAAAAGTGTTTCTCCAAAAAGTTATCCTGACACTGTAGGAGTTATACAGCGCCTGGGAAATGTAGGTAATCAAATTTAAACAAAAACGAGGGTCGGATCAAATCCTTGGATTAAGAGCAATTCATCAACATCAATGTACTTTTCATAAAGGATTGTTTCCTTTGAAAATCCGGAAATTGTTGTTTAAGAACATTCCGCACTTGGAAAATAATGAGGTTTGGTATTTAAGGAAAAAGCTTTGGTCTGCAAGCTGTGTGAACGATACGGGTTTAATGCTTCTTTTTTTAATACAATAAAAATCAGTACTCTCAGTCTGCAAAATGCTCTTGATTTGATTATTATTAATCATTTGCTTATTGTATAGTTATGATATAAGCTAGATATATATTTCATGTAAGTTCACTTTAATATAAATTTGGTCACTAATTATATATTCTGATATATAACAGAGATACATACATTTTATAGAAACAATAAATGCTAGTTAGCGGAAATAAAAATTCTTCATAAGGCAGCACTAAATCCACAAGGGTCATACATCGCCGGGAGAGCGGCAGGGGCGGGGGGGGGGGGGTCTATCAGAATTGATTCCAGAAAGGGGGGAATATCCCCAATTCCTTGGACCAAGAGAATTTCATCAACATCAAGCCATCCCTTGTACAAGCCAGAAATAGACAGAATGACTGCTCGGAAAGCCAGGCTTCCCCCAAATATATTTTTGTGTAAACTTTTGACATATTAGGCTTGGCAGTCACCCAACACTGCCAGTACACAGCTATAAGCAGCAGAAAATTATTGGCACGTTCAGTAGGAAGTTCCCATAAAGTTTGTTGACCCTAAGTTCCATCAAGTAATATTTCATATTTGATCATATCGAAGTTTTCAAGGTTAGTAAACTATTCAACAATTTACACCGATTTTGTACTTGATCATTTTTTATATACCTTTACTCAGAAATGCATTGAATTGAGTTATAGTTAGATGGGCTACTAAATGAAGACACCTTATCGAATTAGAGTTTCAAGTACCCTTTAATTATTGTCATAAATTCTGACTTAAATCTTAGATATATGATGGCCCATTCAGTGGATCTTATGGTCATGGGACCGAGGCCTTTCAATGTTAAAATAATTCGCATTACAGGATGTATATTCATACGGTGTTTCAGGGGAGTGGGAGCACGGGAAGCACAGAGTACTGGACGTGTTCAGAGTGCAGAAGCACCAGCTCCGGCTCCTACCACACCTGCCCAGAGTGTCAGCAACTCCGTGACCTCTTCACCCACGATGACACGAGACCGCCATCCGAGGCCGACCTCCCGCTAGACGAGATTCTCAGAAGGTCCAGATCGAGAACCAAATCGGGGTCGAAAGGCAAAGATGACCCGGCAAAAGCCGGAGCCAAGCATCGTAGTCGATCCAGGTAAGCCCATCCTCCAGGTGAGCCCATAATCCAGGTGAGCTCATCCTCCAGATGAGCCCATCCTCCAGGTGAGCCCATCCTCCAGGTGAACCCATCCTCCAAGTAAGCCCATCCTCCAGGTGAGCCCATCTTCCAGGTGAGCCCATCCTCCAGAACTCAACACTTAAAAAGTATTTTCCAAAATGCAGCTTCAAAATGCAGTTATAACTTGCAGAACTTTTTTTTTTTTGTATATATATGTAGTTTCAACTTGCAGAAATTTGTGCTGTATATTTAGAGCAAGTCATAACTGTAAATACACAGTAATATGCATTCTTACGTATTCATTACCAGCCACTATTATTTAATCTGCACATTAGAAAAATATTTATTCTTTCGGCAAAATTCCCTTTAAAGATGGGTCTGTCATGATAATTCTTTCAGTGGAACTTTAGTCACGGGACCGAGGCCCTCTGTAAAAAAATCATGCTGCATCAAAGATTTACTTTTTTCCAGATCGAGAAGCCGCTCTATCCCGCGAGTTTTGGATGACGAAGAGACGAAGGTCACCACGGCGAAACGAGGCGCTCCTCGGGATCACCCAGATGCCATCGAGAGAGCCACTAGGTCCAGATCACGCTCACGCTCGAAGTCACTCACGAGGGAGATCGTAGCTTCCTTCAAGGAATTTAGAGACAAAGTAACCAGGGGCAGGTGAGGACTTGGGTATCATTAGCTACTTTATTCGTATTATTAACCCTCCAGAGTTAATAATATGAATAAAGTTTTCATCATCATTTGCCTAGACATTAACAACATGGTTACTTAATTTCTGATATAAGAATTACAGTAAACTCAACGTTTTTTCGTTGCGAGAGATAAACTCCTCGGCGTATGTACCCTACATATTTTGATATTTTCAGTAATATATATGAATAGGCAGAGAAGAGTTGCTGCACAGACAGCACAAAGAAACAAAAATGCTTCAGGGTGTATACACAGGTGTAGATCTCAAGTAATTTCAAAGCCTGTCCTTTAGTATACCACCCCAATGATACTATCCACAAATCAACCAGCTTATTTACTGCAGCCACACGGACAGAGCCAAGTGTCGGAATTTATAAATACACATAATTGCGTGTATTAAGGGTGACCTTAATTATTAAGGGTGACCTTAAATATTAAGGGTGACCTTAATTATTAAGGGTGACCTTAAATATTAAGGGTAACCTTAATTATATTGTGACCTTAATTTGAAAAATTAACACTACTAAAAATCTTTCTCGAGGTCGCGATCGAAGTCTAGGGAGCGGAAGAAAATTGAGGAAGATGAGGCTGCAACTGCAAAGGTCGGATCCACAGAAGACAACAGGCTCGAGGGGATGGCCAATGGCGACATCCGCATCCCTGTACAGGTGCAGCCACAAATCTCACATCCACCTGGCAAACCGGAGAAGGTACGATCTGGATCCATGACCTGTTATTGATAAGAATGGTTTGATGTGAGGGAAAAGTTCAACAGATAGGAGTAGCGAGCGAGTATATGGTAACGATAGTTTGACTGCCGGCTGCTTGTTAAGGTAGGGTCAGTCTAGTCCCCCTTCTATCCCCTCCCCCCCTTTTTCCCCACCCCGAAAGGTGACATGTGGGGCTCCGGCCAAACAGTAATCACTCGACTCACAGCTCCCAGCACAACTGTAAGTAAAAGCCTCTGCTCCTATTCTAGTGGATATTGGTTGAAAACTTCACTTTTGACCAATAATAAACTTTGTCCTTTCAGTTATAAACTCCACATGAGACTTTTCGATAATCACCATCTTTTTTAAGTATCTTGCATTTATCATGGAGAGTGATTTCTTAAGCAGTGGGTAACCTGTCTCTCTTTCCAGCTTGGAATGACAGATCGGGTCACCTGCCAACCAACGAGAAGTGTTGAAGGAGACGGACTGAAACAGCCCATGAGATGTCATTCATGATCTAACTACCTGATTAATTGTACAGGACACTAACCCTCATTTTTGCAGTGGTAAAGAACCTGCATTCCTGTCATCTGGACTGACTATTCAAGGCTGTAGACTCTGTGAAGAACTAGTCGTTGGGTTGTCACCAACACTTGTGACCCCCCCCCCCCCACATCATCAGTAACGGCTACAATTTCTACAAGACGGTGTCAACCTCCACCAGACACCCCAGTATAACTGTATATATTAGCGTTGAATTCAAATGTCATTTTTCCATTTCATTTTTTATTTTTCTTTCAAGTAGGATACACCTTCATATTTCGATGTTTTATTTTTGCATTAATAAATAATAAAGTGTTTATCTTTGTGAATTATTATTTCTTTTTCTATTCATTAATTTTCCTGCTGAGGAGCCAGCCTTGGTAATACTGTCTGAAGTTGTTACAGGGCTGAGTAAGCCTTCACAAGTGGCGACCTTGCCAGGATCAACTCTACTGAATCAAGATTCAACTCCATCTCGAATCTATCATTGAAACTTCAATGCCGCATACCACAGACGGTTACCACCAGCCATGAGTAATCATTCTCTATGGTAGGACTACAGTACAGGTATTTAAAAGATTTGGTGATTGTTATAGTCTCAATTTATTGTAAGTCAAGTCAAGGCAGGATATACTAGTTAATTCTGTCACCTTTATTTTTGAGCTTGAAACGATTTGGAGGAATAGACTCTAGGGACCCGAGATTTTCCAGTGACAAGTTGTTTCACTGAGCTCTTTATTATATCAAGGGAACTGTCGTAGGACACTCTTGATTTGTTGGTGAGAAGATTGGATGGTCAAGGGACCCAATTCTACTTACTGTTTGCTCGGAGCTAGCATAGAACCCTCCCTTTTCATTCACACATACTGTTTAATCGAAGCAGGGATCGAACCCTCCGATTTATTTACAGCTTGAGCGGAGCAGGAATTGAACCCTTCGTTTTCTTTGATATATCCGTTTCATTTTCCCCTGGTAGTTTAAGTTATTCTTGCAAGTATGGAGGAATACCAGTTTTGGATGAACACTGGGAGTAAGTTAGGAATAACGGAGAAGAATTTAGAAGCTTTCATTAGCGCTAAAATCCAGCAAAGAGACAGAAAGGAGAGAGAGAACCTTGAGAGAGAGGAGAAAAAGGAGAGAGATTGAATTGAAAGAGAAAGTCAAGAAATATAGTTAAAAAGAGAAAGAGAGGAGAAAAAGGAGAGAGAGAGAATCGAAAGAGAGGAGAAAAAGGAGAGAGACCGAATTGAAAGAGAAAACCAAGATAGATAGTTAGAAAGAGAAAGAAAGCGTGATAGACTTGATTGTGAGGAGAGAGCTAAAGTACGTGAGGAGCAAGTTAGGTTAAGAGAACTTGAGGAAAGAGCAAAAGATAGAGAAGCTGAGGAAAAAGCTAGAGAACGTGAGGAAAAAGCTAGAGAGAATGAACTGCGAGAGAGACAAAAAGATCGCGAGCTCGAAAAATCTCGCCTTGAATTAGAGAATAAAAAGTTCTTTTACACAACAACAATTAGAGGAAGGAGTAATTGAACATCATGCAGCTAGTGCACATATTCCAACACCTAATTTACCTCCCTTCACAGAGGGTGAAGACATTACTTCAAACATTATCAGGTTTGAAAATACCGCTACCCTCTGTGAATGGCCTGCTGACACCTGGGCTACCAGGTTAGGTATGTTATTTTCTGGTACAGCTTTGAATATCTATGCATCTTTGTTGCAGGATATATGTAATTATAACCTACTGAAGAAGGCAATCCTTAAAGCATATAAAAAAAACCCACAAATTATTATGGGAAAGATTTCAGGTATGCCACCTTACAGCATGGCCAAAACTTTCAACAGATACAGGTAACACTTTCGTTTGTTCGACTTTTGGACACAGAGTTCAGGAATTGATCACAGTTATGAATCTCTTAGAGACATCATGGTTGCTGACCAGTTCCTGACAGCTCTTCCTCACCAGATACGAACATTCATTAGAGAACGTAACCTGATTAAAGCTGAGGAAGTTGCTGAGGCTGCTGACTTGTATGCTGAGGCTAACAATTCCTATAAAGACCAAAAGGGATCGAACCCTAAGGGCAAGGGTTCACCAAATCAAAAGAAAACAAACCTCTAATAGAAAGCAAACTAACTTTTATTCCTGTTTGCCATTTATGTGGTGTTAAGGGACATAAATGTCCCGATTGTCCTTCTAAGAAGGTCCAAAAAGTTGGAAGATGTTTTAAAGACTGTAATGAACAAGCACCCCTCTGTTCAGGAACAGTTAATGGTATAAAAGTCTCAGACATATTACGTGACACTGGATGCACGTGCATCGTAATTTCGGACAAACTGTTCCCTTACTTTAAAACCTCTCGTGTGTCCTCTATTCTTTCAGATTACTTGGGTCGTGAAAATACTTTCCCTACAATACGTTGTTACTTGAAAACTAAATGGTTCACCGGTTGGACTAATGCGGTACTAGCCCCAATTACTTGTTCTATAATAGTGGGTAACATTAAAGGTGCCGTTCTTCCTTCGAGGCGGATCTTTCGTCACCAACCGTGGATCTAAGTTTTCCAGCTCCTTTTCCTTGCAAGTTAAATAAGACCCTTCACAATTCCGCACCGGAAGCTGCATTGTCTCGTACTGTTCATTTGGGGGTGGAAACAGATGATACTGCTCTCGATAGTGAGGTAGCAGGATCACCTGTCCACTCGTCAGGTGAAAGTAAGGGTATTGCCTCCGGCACTCTCAATGTCTTGACTAGGGCTCCGACCATAACCCTGGCTTCTCCTACCTCCACTCCTCCAACCGTAGGTCCTTTTATTTTCCCAGATTATATGTCCAAGGATGACTTTGTCAATATACAGCGCAATTGCCCTTCAATTCGGGATTGTCATAATCAAGCTTTTAACAACAAAGTTATCCACGGGAGATACGTATCTCATAAGTTTGAATATATTAATGGTATCTTATATAAATCTGTATTTAAATCTCATTCTTCAGCAATAGATTATTCCCTCCTTGTTGCTCCTAAACCATGTCGAGAGACTGTTCTTCAAATGGTTCATGATTTGCCAGTGACCAAACACTTGGCCCATCGTAAGACGTGGCATAAACTCAAGCACACTTATTTTTGGCCAAGCATGCACTTACAGGTTACAAAGAAGCATAGTTCTTGCAACAGGTGTCAGGTGCTTACTGCACACAATACACTCCTAGTTCCTGTATATTTATTAAATCTAAAACTTCCCTCCTGCAGAAACAAGATACTCCACCATAGAAAAGGAATGTTTGGCCCTTGTGTGGGGCATCTCCAAACTTAAATTTTATTTACTGGGAAAAGAATTTATTTTAGGAACGGATCACAAACCTGTGATATACCTAGAAACTTTTAAGGGAACCAACAGTCGCCTCTTAAGGTGAACATTGGCACTCCAAGCTTTTAAGTTTCATATTGTGCATATCAGTGGTTCATCCAATTATTTCTCTGACTGGTTAAGTCGTGACAGTCAGTAGATTTGTTGCCTTACGCGACTTCATATTAGAACTTTTTCCTCGCCTATTCTTCTTATACTCCTTGACTATAAGTCTTGGTATGAGGGAGTGTGAGGGAAAAGTTCAACAGATAGGAGTAGCGAGCGAGTATATGGTAACGATAGTTTGATTACCGGCTGCTTGTTAAGGTAGGGTCAGTCTAGCTCCCGCTATCCCCTCCTCCCCCCTTTTTCCCCACCCCGAAAGGTGACGTGTGGGGCTCCGGCCAAACAGTAATCACTCGACTCACAGCTCCCAGCACAACTGTAAGTAAAAGCCTCTGCTCCTATTCTAGTGGATATTGGTTGAAAGCTTCACTTTTGACCTTTTGTCCTTTCAGTTTTAAGCTCCACATGAGACTTTTTGATAATCACCATCTTTTTAAGTATCTTGCACTTATCATGGAGAGTGATTTCTTAAGCAGTGGGTAACCTGTCTCTCTTTCCAGCTTGGAATGACAGATCGGGTCACCTGCCAACCAACGAGAAGTGTTGAAGGAGACGGACTGAAATAGCCCATGAGACGTCATTCATGATCTAACTACCTGATTAATTGTACAGGACACTACCCCTTATCTTTGCAGTGGTAAAGAACCTGCATTCCTGTCATCTGGACTGACTATTCAAGGCTATAGACTCTGTGAAGAACTAGTCGTTGGGTTGTCACCAACACTTGTGACCCCCCCCCCCACATCATCAGTAACGGCTACAATTTCTACAAGACGGTGTCAACCTCCACCAGACACCGCAGTATAACTGTATATATTAGCGTTGAATTCAAATGTCATTTTTCCATTTCATTTTTCATTTTTCTTTCAAGTAGGATACACCTTCATATTTCAATGTTTTATCTTTGCATTAATAAATAATAAAGTGTTTATCTTTGTGAATTATTATTTCTTTTTCTATTCATTAATTTTCCTGAGGAGGAGCCAGCCTTGGTAATACTGTCTGTAGTTGTTACAGGGCTGAGTAAGCCTTCACATTTGAAGACTACCATATGATTAGCCTCTTCCTTCACAGTATTCATGACAGTCATTTGCCACTTTTTTCCGAACAATTATTGCTCTTAATAAAAAAATGTAGTCCCTTAATTATGTAATATATGTTATATTTATTGCTTTATATTGCTATATTTTACATCATCCTATTTATCTTGTCTCGCTTTTCAGCTTTTAATTTGAATTCCACAGTTACCTTAGCGCATTGGTTCTTAACCTAAGGGTACATTCACTCTTGAGGCATTCATTTACAAAGAGAAATTAGATTTGTTGCATACTGTAAAATATAATATTTTATTTGTTTTTCATTAATTTAGTTTTAAATTAGTTGTGAATGGTATGCTGATGCCGACGAACTGTAGAAAAGGACACTTATGTACTCTTTAGGATATTTAATGGAACATCTCACACTGAGTGGCATCCTCAGCCCTAATGAATAGTTTAAAACCTCTACCTTAGTGTAAACAGAAGACTTCTACTCCCTTTTTATGACGTCTTGCATAATTGTTTGTCAGAAAGTGCTAATCTATTTGTTTAATATTTGTTTCTGCTGAAACTGTAGCTTATATAACATAAAATAAAGGAAATGATTCCAGTTTTTTTTATTTACGTAATTTGTAACCGACGCGTTAGGATTGCTCTCTTTAAGTGACTTCGTTGAAATATAAGCTATTCAGCGTTTCACAGTGTGGCAGGAGTGTTGGTCTTCTCTCTCTGTCACATGTATCTGCATGTAAGGTGGTAGTTAAATCTTGCAAACTTTATTAGAATTCTACATTTATCTATCCTGTGCCGATAGTTCTTATTCTTATAATATTTTTTTCCGATTTATGAGGCATGATCTGAGATGGGGCAGCGGGGGCGATGATCATGGAAACATATAGGCATATAATAGATACTTCCTATCGCAGGCGTGGAAGGAAGTATCCTCCGAGACCGTGAGGACTCGGGTGATACTGCATGGTGGGGACACACAGGGAGACAGGACACTCACGTTGGAGCAGATCACCTCCGTCCGGAAGCCGGAAGACATCCAGGACTCGCAAACCCTCAGGAACGCTTTCAGGTTTGAACTTATGTATTGGGTTTCACTTAATAACTCTGAATCTAATATGCGCACACACGCACACGTAGCCTTATTAAGATTTATATGCCCACAGAACCATATTAAGTCTCTTGTTGACGAACACTGTTTAGATGTTGCTATATTGTCTCGTACACATACACTCATAAAACATCTGTATATATATTGTAAAGCCATGTATGTGTATAAGCTTGAGTTAGTGACATTAATGAATAGATAAGGGTCAAGGTGTATCTGTAACGTAAGCACTGATTTACCACGGGTTAATCTCTGGTACCATTATAGTGGAAAAATAAGAAATGCTTAACACAACTGCATATAAATATATATTGCTAACAGCTACATTCTTCTAACGTCATTTACCTTCCTCCCTTCACATGGTCTTCTTGCTTTAGTCCGACCCTTCCTTACCTTGTATCTCTCTTGCCGCATGTATTTCCTGAAGATAGTTAAGCTCAAAGTTTTTCTCTCACACCACTGCAAACCCTTTGCAATTCTTAGTCATATAAGCCCAATATATTTATCAACATGCTTTCGGAGATTATAACTGGGTGTCTGTGAAAATGACAGTTCACCGTCCAATTTTTTTTAAATTTAGCAGTTATTTTGCACATTCAATGGCTGCCTGGATGAAACTACGAAAATGTAAGCCTAGCAGTTAACACGAGTGGGAGCCTATCACTCAACACGAGCACTTGTAGAATATACCTAACTCGTGGTCTTATGGGACTTTGAATTCACAGGCAGATTGTCCTTGCATTGTTTCATTGCTCCTTTCTGGGTGAAGAAGAGACGAAAATGAAATATACAAATGTTAACTTCCGATGAAAAGTTGGATATCTCACATAAAGAGAGTACAATTAATTACGCGATAACAAGAGCGAAAGTATTTCATCTCCCACTGCCTAAACCAGAGAAAATTTGACTTTATGAAGAGGAGCATCTGTTTACTCCCCAAACTAGGAAGTATCGTAAGAAATAATAATTTCTTCAAATATTAAAGTACGGAAGGTGTCGGATTAATGTGGGAAGACTTGGACCTTGTATTATATTTCCTGAGCACTTGGCTGTAGTGACAGCTTTTCTTATAACATCTTGGGTGTTGGTCTAAAGATCCTAATATCTCTTTGACACGGCAGTTGCTGCTTTAGCAATAGCAAGTTTTATTTTCGTACACCTTTTCTTCATATTTCCAGGTGGAAATCTCCACCTTCTGCAGCTGATTCTTCTTCACCGCGAACTTCCACTTGGGCACAGCCAAAAGCTGCTGTCACTGATATCTGTGATCGTGCTTTTACTTCACCCGAATCTTCACAACTTGCCCACACACCAGTATCCCTTCTGCCTGTTCACTCTCCTGTGTCCACCGCTAGCCGCCATGCTACACCGCTTGTACAAACTTCACCATTTGGGCTTCCTTCTAGTACATCTACATCTGCTGTAGCTGTATTTCCTCAAGAGGCCAATGAAGACGCTTCTGTTCCTCAAATTAGCCAAGTTTTTCCTCCAATAGTAGAAAGTGGTATGCGTGAGTGTGTTATTAGTCCATCTGAGGAAGTGTGGCCCCCGCCACCGCTCGGGCTTCCTTCAAGCTCATCTACAACTACTGTAGCTGTGTTACCTCAGGAGGCAAATGAATACGCTTCTGTACCTCAAATTAGCCAAGTTTCTCTTCCAGCGGTAGAACATTGCGTGTGTGATGGTGTTAGTAATCCATCTGAGGAAATTTGGCCCCCACCACCAGACCTCCCACCACCTGAGGAACCCACACTGATCCAGGTGAGGCCAACGGGTTTAATATCACTGGCAAACGTAGATTCAGAACCGGTACCACCATCTCACAGTCATGTACTTGCTAGTGAAACAAAAACATTACCTCCCTCATGCCCCGCTGTTGACGAAGATTTACCACCTCCACGACCCCCAACTCCTGATCTTGAAGTCGACGATGCTCCTCCCCCAAGGCCGCCTGAACCCACTGATGTGTACGAAGATTGTGTTCTAACTAATATGCCATCTGCGCATAATGCACCTTCCTGTCCACTTCCTCCTAGCAGTTATGAGGTCGTACCCCCTCGTCCTGCTCCTCCGGTGTTAGATAATTTGGCGGAAGACTTGCTTGAGTGTGCACCTCCACGGCCCGACCCTCCTAGCGATGACGCTGATGATGAGCGTGAGACAACTCCGCCCAGACCACGACCTCCGGTTGAGTATGAGATAGTGATCCCTCCGCGGCCTCCCCTTCCCACAATACACGAGTATTCACCTATCCGTGAAGGTTCTCCTGTTTTAGAGGAATTACCTGAAAACACAAAGAATGGGGTAATACCGTCATGGCAAAAAACATCAATAATTAAAAAATTTACTCCTCCCAGGCCTACAGAGGCTGACATGGAGACCCCGCCGTCCCCACTGCTTCCACCGCCACCAGAAGAGAGTGAACTGCAGGCGAAGCTTGTTCCCACAGAAGCCGCACAAGAAAACTCGTCGCCGTCGGATCATCCCTACACTTCCTCTTCCCCGGAAAAATCGGGTACCTCTCCGGAAAAAGAATCTGACGGAGACACCGGTACCGCCTCTCTGAAAGGTATTTAATGCTAAATTTATGATTTATGAAATTAATATATTAGATATTCATTATAAAAAAAATCCACTGAAATTAGAGATTTGAAATTTTTTATCGCACCTTCGAATATTATCATTTGAAATTAAAATTCATCATAAATACTTTACAGTTATTTATCATCCATCTGATTCATAATTAATTTAGAATGATCTACTACAGACCCGAGAAGTGTGACGGATGAAAGTTCCCAGCAGCCTCTAGGTCTCCCGCCTGTCTTCCCTCACACGAAAGAAGGCGAGGATGAGATCATCCGCAAGATGCGCAAGGTAAGTTTTCTGATTAGTGTTAGCTGGTGATTTTCATCGCCAAACACCCCGAGTCACTCACAGCTTATTTACCCAGAAATAATTGTCTTAACTATGTCGCGGCTCAAGACCCGCATAACTGCACGATTTTTTTTTTTTAAGCCAAGTGCTCTCGTCTGGACCACTTTGTTTAAACTTTGGCGTAAAATTGTCCATGTGGTGTGACATGTGAATTGTCGTGAATTTGAGTTTATTGTTAATTCACAAGAACAGGTGACCACAAAGTGTATTTAGTAATTAACACAGTGAATTATAAATTGAATGATTGAGCATCTTTGTGAAAGTCACTCAATTTGAGACGTTGTGTGGTTTGATGAAACGAAAATTCTGTATTATTTAATTTCCATTTCACTAGGTTGATCCCTACATATTTAATATGTATTCCTCATAATGAAGTGATAGAAAACATCATGGAAAAGTAGTAATAACAATAACAATTGAGGGCACTAGGCCGTGCTAGCCCTGAGAGGATATGAGAGATACCAAGATTCGAAATCCCTAAATTTCCCTTCAATACTTGCAAACTGATGTTAGTAAAGGGCTCTTGATCCAAGGAATTGGAGCCACCCTATTCCTTAGATCAGACCTCATTGCCTCCCACTCCGCAGTCTCTCTACGACCCAAACGGGTCTAGCACTCATGAATATAATATAACACCTAGAGTTGGAAAAAATGTTTGGATATTGGAATGATAATATCCAAGCGTGCCTGTTGAAGAGATGTTTATGTTCCACACAGGGGCCTAATTCCAGACATGCAGTCATTTGGCATTTTGAACACGGAGTAAAATTATATAGTTATATCTTTTTTTACTATATCACATATACAATTTACACCAGTGTCACTCGTAACCTTCTGTGTTAGATAATCTTGTCTGTTGTGGAAATGAGAAAAGGTTCCTTCAGCGCTATGCTAAACTACAAGTGTTAGTGACAATAAGAAATATTAAAGCTTGAGCTCAAGCTGAAGGCCTTTTTTTACCTTTTAATGAGAAATGTTTTTGTTAACATCGTTTGTAGTGTTTAACTGTTAATATTTACTTGCAGACGCAACTGAGTAGCATATACAAATGACAGTAATGTGTCAAAGATAGTACGAGTGCTAAAATAAGTAAACTTGTTGCAATTTAAGGGAAAAAAAATTGCCTGAAATCTCAGCATTTTATACAAATGAAAAAAATCAAAACTTTTTTTGCAATAATTACTGTTTTTTTAAAATGGGGGGGGGGGGGGGGAGGGTTCCAGCATTATCAGGGAAAAATAATTATTAATAACGCTTATAGTGTTTTAGTAACACTTCTTGCTGTTAAGTCAGCCTAAAGCCACTTAAAGAAGAGTGCAGTGTTTCTTAGAACTTACCAGCTGTCGGTCACTGTCAGAGAACAAAAACAGTATTTGTTGACTGGTGTTTCTCAGTAGTTTTGCGTGTGTTGTAGTTTCTTGGCTTTAATGTATTTTGACGTTCAAGCTAATGTACTTAGATATTAAAGCAGTTCCTTGATATATTTTCAGTTAAAGAATACCCTGAAGTGTGGCTTAACGCTATTTAAAAATTTATAATTATAGAGCAATACTATCTTATATCAAAGAAGTATATACACTAAATGACAGTTTTGCCTCTTATTAATGCTGTGGTAAATTAAATGTCTATGGATAAAATAAGTCTACAAATAAATTTGAAGAAAATCTGAGTTTAAAAAGAAAATTCTTTCATTTAAGTAGCGGTTCCTCGAATACAGAACCTTGTTATATTTGGAGTGACATATATTTCTGTGTAACTCTAAACATGTTTGCCTTATTTAGCGGTGTAGCCAGAGAGGTTTAGCATGTCTGTCTAGCGATTGTGGATCGGGCATCCACTACTCCCAGCGCTAAATAAGGCACACATGTTTAGAGTTACACAGAAATATATGTCACTCCAAATATAACAAGGTTCTGTATTCGAGGAACCGCTACTTAAATGAAAGAATTTTCTTTTTAAACTCAGATTTTCTTCAAATTTCTTTGTAGACTTGTTTTATCCATAGACATTTAATTTACCACAGCATTAATAAGAGGCAAAACTGTCATTTAGTGTATATACTTCTTTGATATGAGATAGTATTGCTCTATAATTATAAATTTTTAAATAGCGTTAATAATAGGGTATTCTGTAGTATTTCTTGATGTACAGTGTTACTTGGTGTGTGGTGTGGAGAATTAAATTTATTTCTTACATAATGTGCCATCAGTACTTGTTAGATTCACAACTATCCTGAAAATTGAAGACTGAATTAATCGACGTTCCGATCCGTCTTTGGCCATTGTCAGGTCAGTCAAAACATCATAATCGAAAACGGACCGAAACACCTTGTTTCCATCTCCAATGTGTGGCTTAGTAGTGAATTGATTTTACTCTTACTAGATGGCATTGCGCATTACTCCTCTCAAACGCCCCGCATCACATTGTATTTACATATTCATATCCTTGATATAAACATTTGTAATAGGATCTATGTCTGTCGAACCTGCATAATTTCTTCCTTTCCTCCTATATTCTTATATCTTCAGTTCACGGCTCGATTTACTTAAATTAAGTAAATAATAATATAAATGAAATAAAAATAATTATGATATATAGAATATAATGCTTTTTTAAACTTTCAGTGTAAACTAAGTAAGTATTTAACACTGTAAAATAGTTAAATACTAATCATATTGCATTTTTAGTGAGTTTATAATAATTAACTGGTATAGAAGCTGTGAATGTCCCACCACCACAAATAGCACAACTAGCACTTAACACTATCGTCAACACCCTGCCTATCCACATCCTAAACTAGAATATGGAAAATACTGCTAATACTTCCTGCACTTGAATTTTTAGCGTTACTCAGTGTCAGACAGTTTCCTACCTACCTGGATCATCCTATTCACGTTTGACTTAGTCAAGGATCCCAATGGAAATAAGTCACTTTGTTTGACTTTTTTGGGTTATCCTAGGTTCTCTACACATATGCTGCTATGTACGGTAATCTATATAACTAAATTTGTGTATACCTGAATAAAATTACTTAATGCAGTTTTTTGGTTGCCGACGTGGATACGTTGAATTATTTTCTTTAGCAACGTGGATTCGTTGATCAAATCATGAAGCCTCGTTGCCACGAGGCTTCACTGAATGATCTCGTGTAGCAACATCAACTGTGCATTGTACAGGACGGACCCATCTGTTGATTACTCGCCCAGGATGAGATAAATACTAAAATCGTGTCATGCATTCCGAGAATCGCTCATCTACCAAGTTTTGACATCCAAAAGTTACAAAGATGTTAATATTTCTGGCTTATGTGTAAATCATGGCATATCGGCTAAATTTGTTAATCCGAGTATCTAAGAAAGATGTTTCAGAATATTCCCACTTGATTAGACAACACTTATTTTCTGGTCAACGATATTATACCGATTTTAGGGTAAGTTTGCGGTGCTGATTCCGAATATGTCATCGGTTTTGCTTGAATGGCTCTTAGTTTTTTGATAACTGTGGTATCCCATTGAAAAACAAAAGATGTGAAAAATATGTTGATGAGGCTGGTTAATTTACAAATTTCATTGAAATTATTTTTTTGATAATGCAAAAGTCAAATAATATAATACATACTAGCACTTCATTCAATATAATAACAGATTAACATAGTAAGTTAATTAAGATACCACTAATTACTGAATATGAAAACGTTGTTTGTACGATTTTCCTCTATGTTGGTCATCAGCACAGTTTTGTTGAGTGAGCAATTGGAAGAGATACATATTAGTTACCATTGTGCAATAAGACAAATTTCAAGCTGTCTATAACCAGTCTCCTGGTCGATATTTAAGTCCCATTCGAAAAAGTCCAGTTATATTATTGCAGTATACAAGTTCTCCATCTTGGCTGAAGTAAGGAGAGAGTTCAACCTCTCTTGTTCGATAAGCTGTTATTTTAACTTCTTGTTGTAGACAGTTCTTTTCTTTTAGTCTGGATGATAAAAGTTCAGATGCTTCCTTTGACAGACTGAGGTCACATATCAGATCATTGAGTTCTTGGGAGAACTGCTGGGGGTGTTGAAATGCTTACTTCATATTCCCTCACATTCCTTCATATTCCAGGATTAGCATTTCGCATCCTTCGAGAAACTATAGCCACTTTTATCTTGTCTTAACAATTTAAATTCTCTTTGACATAAATCGCCACTCCATCACCCTTCCTGTTGACCCTGTCGGAGTGGAATAATTGATAGTTATGTATGTGGCAATCAAAAGGCATTTCTCTTTCAGGTTGAACCGTGTCTGCTATAGCAATAATATCTATGCTTCCTTAGCTCATCTATATTATTTCTAGCGCTCCTACTATTAGTTCAGTAGACTTTAAGAGAGTCACTCGCCGCCCTTAGGTATCTTGGCATTTTTTGCTTCTTTTGTCCCTTGTGCTGCGACCTATTTGTTCCATACATACCCATACCTCTATCTTCTAACAGTTTAAATTCCTAGAAAGTTCAGCACTGGCCGCTCCTCAACGGAACTGGCTGACACTACCACCGCTGCCCCAGAGAAATACACCCCACACCATAGAAATTGTCCCAGTTGTCAGTGAACGGGATTGCAAGTTCCTTATAGTATTTGTCTAGCCAGCAATTTACACCGATTGCCCTAGGCATTCATTCATTGCCTACTCCTCTTCAAGGCAAACTGCTACACATGATCGAGATCCCTCCCTTGGACCTAATTAGATCTATAGCTGCCGTGCACTTAACTAACAGCTGCTATCTCCTGCTTTTCCCAGGATCATTTCTCCCATCATTGAGGGAGACTGTGGGCTTATTCCCGTTACGTGATTTGATATTACCCAACCTGTTGACTTATGTTACCAATACCAACCCCGGGGGAATCACACCCTCTGTCTCACCTTCCTATTTGACCTGTACAGAAGGCATGCTCAGTATATCTTAACTTGTGAGTCACTAACCACAAGAATATTCTTACTTTAATTAGCAGAGAGGTTGATGGCACCT